TGTTGGGTCGACGGTTGGACTTGATGATCTTAGAGGTCTTTTCCAACCTTAATGATTCTATGATTCTGTGATGAGGAAGGCATTGGGGGGATCAGAGGGAAAATCCTGCTCTGCTCCTGTGCTGGCATTTTCATTATCTGTCCTGTCTGCTGTGCTTGAGTAAGATATTACTTAATTCTCTGTTTTCTGCTGACACCTGCTGGCCCTTAGCAGAAGGTCATTGTGGGCCTTGTACAAAACTTTCCTGCCTAAAAGGCTTTCACAACCTCAGAAGTTGTTATTATTTATAACTATCTCATGGGATGATGTCACTGTTAGAACCGGTCTTTGATCTCCAGGTATAGGTAACCGATTGTATCTCTCCCAGTACCCTTCCCATCCCCTTCTTGTTATTACCAGTTACAATTCATCCGTGTGCTTGGTGAGCTAAAATGCAAAGCTAAAACATGATCCGATGGAGTGTGTGGTGCGTTATAAACTGCTGTGTGACACAGACACGTGAAATCTGGGGACAGCCCTGGGAAGCTGAAGGTCTTGATTTCCTAATTTAAGGAAATTTGAGTTGGAAATAAGTAGCTCCACTGCAGTCAGTGTCACAACACTGGCATACAGCTGCAGATTTTCCAGAGAGATCAAAATGAGTGTTCTGCTCCTAGAATGCCAGTCACATCTACAAATGGTGAGCCACATACTGAAACGCCTACTCATTCCTTATCCAGGGCATTCCCAAGGTGCCTTGCAGATTAGGAACATGTAAGTAATCCATTATTTCCATAAATAATAGTTCTCTCACCAGTAATCCAAAATGAATTGCGTTATAGCCAATTACCTTTGATCATCCAGGAGACGAGTTGCAGATGGAGCCCTTCGCCATGTCGGTGTTACAGGTCTGGCTTGAGATGATGAGAAAAGAAACATTTCTATCCCAAGGTGATGGGATTTCTGAGGAACATGGGCTTGTTGAGAGTCTCGGTAGAAATGGTGAAGGCGTGAGGGCTCCCCTCCTGCCTGCGTTTTCCTGGGGCAGCGTCTGGCGCTGCTCCCTGTGCTGTAGCTGTGCAAGGACCGGTCAGCCTCGTGTCCCAGAGCCTCCCTCGCAAGCTCACGCACGCTGTGAGAATTAGCATTATATGAGGAATTAATGTTTCTATGTTGTTCTAAGTAACATCATCTGTACAATGTCATTTTCCTGAAACAGATCCTCCAGAAAGTCCAAGATAAAAGATTATGTTCTGACAAAAGGGAGAGCAATTCAAAAGGTAAATATGAGTTTTGTAAGCTTATGCATAGGGCTCAGAAAAGCCCAAGTTTAGAAAATGCTCGGGACCCTGTGAGAGAGCAGGAGGCGATGCAGAACGGGAGAGGGCAGAGGGGACAAGTCGGGCAGCAGGAGCACAAGGAAAGCTCAGTCCAGCACAGGTTGTCTTCCCTCTCTCCCCCTTTCCTACTGAATTGCCGAACACTTATTTTGCGGGGATGGGAGACGAGGGGGACCACAAGCCGTGGGCTCGCTTACCCTTCCCATTGTCCTGGTTTCATCTGGGATAGAGTTAATTTTCTTCCTAGTAGCTGGTATAGTGCTGTTAGTGATTAAATCATGACACCCATGTGACAGGAGAGACTACTATGCTGTGTCTTGGTTGCAAGAACCTTTTTTACGTAGGGGGCAATAACAGAGGGTCCGGACTTTACAGAAAAGGACTGACTCCACCTAAATTTGATGACTTTTGAGGCCTTTCTAGTTGGCAGGGGGTTCATATCCATTCCGTCCCTCTGTCAACGACAGCACAGGCAGACTGCCTATATATTGATATGGCAATTTTAAGCAACAAGATGAAGTTTGGTTAGGGGAGATTCATTAACACTTCTCAA